TGGGGATGTACCTTTGTCGCGCGCCGGAGACGACTCGACGCCGCTGAGATCGGAGATCAAGCTCTGACAGGTCGCACGTCGCTCCTTTGACGCCGACGTGACTCACCCGTGCAGATCACATCAGGACACGGTCTCGACGCGCTCGGTACGACGCCTGCGACCCGTCTCGGGTCAGGTGGCACGACGCTCATCGCGCCTACCAGCGCTGCCGTGCAGGTTGCCACGACGAGGTCGAGGCCACAGGCTGCCGGCGGGAACAGTGAAAAAAGAAACGATGGTGGCAACTGTACGCCGTCAGTGAAAAAAGAAACGATGGTGGCCCCCCCCAGACCCCTCGGATAGCCCCATGTGTCCTTTTAAAAAGATTTTTGTCCTAACTAAAAGGACAGGTTCATGAAGGGCGCCACGCGCCCCCGCTCGCCGGCCCAGTCGTACCTCCCGCACTCCACTTGCCCTTCGCGACTTCCCCGTGCCCGGTGGTGCCGGGGGACGACAGTCGTGGCCTTGTTTTGGACGTTACGTGCCGCCGAAACTTGATCACCGATCACCGTCTGAATAAGTAAGTCCTATAGAACTCTCCAAAGGCCGGTGATCGGTGATCAGTGACCAGCCGGTGATCATGCAGCTAGTGGGTGGTGCCCCGGCCGACGTGAGCGTCATCAACCCGCCCGCAAGTACCACCTGACGTACGCCGCACTCGGCCGCGGCGAGCTCTCGAATGAAGACGTGCTGAGCCAGCTCACCGCCAAGCGAGCGCATCAAATGCCGCTGCTCGCTACAACAATGGCACCCTCCCGCAGTACATGCCACGCATCTTCTCCACCAACAGCCAGCTGACAGAGGAGGACCACATCCTTCCCCGAAGGCGCAACGCCAAGCAGCAGCACGCAATTGATCGCCGCTACCGCAAGATTAGTCCGCTGACAGAGCCGCTGCAGCGACTGGGACGCAAGCTCAAAACCGGGCGGGCTCATAGTGAAGAAGATGGTGAAGGGAGTGCTTGGGCGCGTGTCCAAAGGTGCCAAGCGGCCTGCAGCGCCCTCCTCCCAGGCTGCAACCCCCCCCCCTACGCAAGCGGCAGGTGATTGTAGACAGTGATGAGGACTAGCGGGCGTAAAGGACAAGCGGTTGCGGGTACGTCACCGGGTCGGTTTTGAATGTGTTGCTTGGGCTGGGTCGTGACCCCGCCGCCTGGAGGCTGTCAGGTGGACATGGTAGCATACCTCAATGCCCAGGAGAGGCTTGCAGAGAGCTCAATGGGAGCGAAAACGCGAGATCAAGGTGTCCTTTTGTAAAGGACAAGTCCTTTAAAAGTCATCGGCCTATCCGCCCTCCCGACGGGGACGCCACCACCCTCGCCCAGGGATCTACAATGCTGTCTTAAGGTCCGACAGGTTCGGCACCGGGCACCGCCTCGGTATACAAAATGCGCCTGCGGGCGGACCCTTACAGATCACAGATCACTTTCTCGAGTGCGTCGGTCACGGAAAGTACGTCGAGTGGGTGAGCAACGAGGAGCAGGGAGGGTATTACTGGCAGAATGTGGGTAAACGAAAGTAATGTAAATCCTAGATAGATAAGCTGAGAGAGAAGGGTGGTGTTTAGAAACACCGGGAGTGTGGTGCGCCGCTTAGGCGTTGGACGTGTACTTGGTGACGGCCTTGGTGCCCTCCGAGACGGCGTGCTTGGCGAGCTCGCCGGGGAGGATGAGGCGGACGGCGGTCTGGATCTCGCGCGACGAGAGGGTGCCCTTCTTGTTGTAGCGCACGAGCTTGCCCGCCTCGACGGCGATGCGCTCGAACGCGTCGTTGATGAACGAGTTCATGATGGACATGGCCTTGGAGGAGATGCCGGTGTCCGGGTGCACCTGCTTGAGCACCTTGTAGATGTAGGACGAGTACGACTCGACGCGCTTCTTCTTGCGCTTCTTCTCGCCGCCGCCGGACGGCTTCTTGGCGGACTTCTTGGCGGGCGTCTTCTTGGCGGGCGGCATGGCTGAGCTGGTTTGAGGGATGATGTGAGATTTCATTTTTTGGAGGGGTCCTTGCCTCGAAGGGTGGCTCACCCGCAACCGCCCGCGCCGCTGCAGCCAGGCGCACTTTCGGCTCCCGGCCCCCACCTCGCGGTTTAGCGGGCGGGAGGCGGGCGAGAGGCGGCCCTCGTCCTCCTCGCCCACTGTGCGGCCCCTCTCCGCCGCGGGTCGACCCAGTCGCGCCGCCGCGAGCCGACAGCGTCGCCGGCTCCGTCGCCAGCAGCGTCGCCGAATGTGCTCCTGCGGCACCTCCGAGTTGACGCTCGAGCAGACCGGCGAGAAGTGCTGGATCCAGCGGGCCTCCTTCACGCACGCTGATCTGCACGACGAGCTGGTGAGCGATCTCGTCGCGTTAAGCTCGCCATTCGCGGGCTGCGGCGACGAGAGCGAGACGGTCTGCTACACATTCCTGCTGCTCGGCGACCAGAATGCGGGTAAGAGCACCTTCTTGCACGCGTTCACGAACGCAGGCGACAGCAGGTGGCGCGGTGTGCAACCGTCCACTCGGCGGGGTCGCAGCTGCCTCTGCGCGTCCTGGGGATGTACCTTTGTCGCGCGCCGGAGACGACTCGACGCCGCTGAGATCGGAGATCAAGCTCTGACAGGTCGCACGTCGCTCCTTTGACGCCGACGTGACTCACCCGTGCAGATCACATCAGGACACGGTCTCGACGCGCTCGGTACGACGCCTGCGACCCGTCTCGGGTCAGGTGGCACGACGCTCATCGCGCCTACCAGCGCTGCCGTGCAGGTTGCCACGACGAGGTCGAGGCCACAGGCTGCCGGCGGGAACAGTGAAAAAAGAAACGATGGTGGCAACTGTACGCCGTCAGTGAAAAAAGAAACGATGGTGGCCCCCCCCAGACCCCTCGGATAGCCCCATGTGTCCTTTTAAAAAGATTTTTGTCCTAACTAAAAGGACAGGTTCATGAAGGGCGCCACGCGCCCCCGCTCGCCGGCCCAGTCGTACCTCCCGCACTCCACTTGCCCTTCGCGACTTCCCCGTGCCCGGTGGTGCCGGGGGACGACAGTCGTGGCCTTGTTTTGGACGTTACGTGCCGCCGAAACTTGATCACCGATCACCGTCTGAATAAGTAAGTCCTATAGAACTCTCCAAAGGCCGGTGATCGGTGATCAGTGACCAGCCGGTGATCATGCAGCTAGTGGGTGGTGCCCCGGCCGACGTGAGCGTCATCAACCCGCCCGCAAGTACCACCTGACGTACGCCGCACTCGGCCGCGGCGAGCTCTCGAATGAAGACGTGCTGAGCCAGCTCACCGCCAAGCGAGCGCATCAAATGCCGCTGCTCGCTACAACAATGGCACCCTCCCGCAGTACATGCCACGCATCTTCTCCACCAACAGCCAGCTGACAGAGGAGGACCACATCCTTCCCCGAAGGCGCAACGCCAAGCAGCAGCACGCAATTGATCGCCGCTACCGCAAGATTAGTCCGCTGACAGAGCCGCTGCAGCGACTGGGACGCAAGCTCAAAACCGGGCGGGCTCATAGTGAAGAAGATGGTGAAGGGAGTGCTTGGGCGCGTGTCCAAAGT